TTTTTTTTTTTTTTTCAAATATTGCATCTTGTGATCAATGTTATTTTCTTGGTAATATTTTCTAGTTGAAAGTTTTGACAAAAAAGTACACATGCAATGTGAAAAATCAAAAATATATAGCAAAATAGCATGATGAATTGATGATAGCCGTGAGCCTCTGTTATACTGGAATTCGAATTTTAACTTCTTTTTTTTATCCAATCACAATAGAGAACCTAATTATTATTTTATATAAGAATATGTAAATGTTATATCAATTATCCATCTTGTAACACAAAATTTATGGAGCCATCGTATCTCTTATGGAGTCATTTATAACTTTATGTACCGACACATGTTCAATGTGCATTTATTGCAGGACACGTGTCAAGACATCATTTATGAATAACAATAGATGGTTTCATAAACCGAGTCATCCGATAACTCCCTAACAAAACCGTAACTTATAACTGTTTGCGCATAAACTTCTACTTTTGAACTGATTGAAATCAACACTGTTGACCATTTTCATTAATTTTCAGTGATGGACCAAGTGGAAGTCGCACTAAAATTAAGTGGTAAAACGTGTAGTAAATTTAGATATGAATTTTGGATAATTATTATTTATTACTAATGTAAAGTTTAATTTGTGGCACAATTGATGTAACGAGGCCTAATTATTAGGCCTATATATGTAACTATCAGGCTTCAGGCCCGTCGAAAATTAGTCAAGATCATACATTTTAGATTGAAAGGTTAATTTATACTTTAACATATTAATTTTATATTTATATTATTTTTTGAAGTATCATCGTATAAAATGTCTTTATTATTCAAAAAAATAAAAGTATTGATTTTAAATACACATATTACATATATGTCTAATTAAGTTGAAATCCTAGATTTTAATAATGATTTCTTTCTTTTTTTTTTTTCTATATCATAAATTATGGAAATTAAATTTCTAGTCAAACAATATTTAACCCTACCAAAACATATGTAATTGAAGAAAAACTTAAATAAATAAATTACTATATCATAAATATTTTATTTAGTGATAATAAATATCAGAAAACCCTTGTTGGGAAACTCACCCACCACTGTCAGGTGTGCGACCCGAGTCGACTCAGAGCATAGCTCCGGATACCGTGGCCGGCTACTAAAAAAAATGATCGCTTCACATTCTATCTTTTCTTTCTTTTTCGGAAAAAAAAAATGAACTTATATTTCTTCATAAAGTAGCAATACTATTTCGTTGATTAAAGTTAGGCTCGTTCAAGCAATGAAAAATCTTCAAATAATGGCACTTTTAGGAATTAGTCCTATTCATGATCACAAATCAAAAGCTAATTTCATTAGTTTTCAAAATCACAAAAGCTCGATTATCTGAAAAAGGAGTTTCATTTTTTTGGTATTTTACGTATTTAATGCACAAAATCAAGCAATTAGAGGTCAATTCTAATCATAATTAATCACAAATCTATCATATTTCATGTTCTTATTTCATTTTGGCAAACTGATAACATGTGCCATTGACCAGTGTTTTAAATCAAAAGTTTTATGGAGTCATCGGATTGTTTTCTTATGGCGTTATTCATCACTTTTAATGTATTAACATATGTCCAAAGTGTATTTAATGTAAGAAACGTGTCATCCGATTGCTCCATAGCAAAACTGTGTTTTAAATACCATTCTGATGATCATACTGGACGAGCCATTGGTACGCAGTTTAACCGGTTCAATCGATTTTACCATCTATTTTCTTGATTTTAATAAATATTAAATTTATCTATTATGATAATGTATATAATATATAAAATTAAATATAATACATATTAAAATTAACTAAAATCTAATAACAACGTAAATATATTAATTAAGTGTAGATTTTTCTATTTATATACATTATTAATAAAAAATGTTATAAAATATGTATCTTTTTAAATCCAATATACCGGGTATTTTAACCATTATTTTAGCCAGTATTGTGTGGTAACCCAATATTTTCCCGTATGAAGCTACTATAAATCAATATTTTGGCCAAAACAACATTTAAAGGTTAACCATACCGGTCAAACCACCGATATTGCACTACAGAAAAAACTCTTACATTCCAACGGAAATTTTTTATTGGAATTTTTTATATTTCCGTTGGAATAGCTATTCCAACGGATATTCCTACGTATAAAAATCCGTTGAAAAAACGGCCGTTGGAATAGCAAATGTCCAACGGAAAATCCTATGGAAATAAATTCCTACAGCTATTCCAACGGAAAAAATCCGTTGGAATTCCTTAACTATCCAACACTTATTCCAACATAAAATTAAGTTTGTTGGAATATTTATTAGAATTTCCAACGAGAATTTTTGCCGTTAGAATTTTTTGTTAGAATTATAGTATTTTTTTGTAGTGTTGCCGTATTTAAACATTGCCATTGACTTAATGTTAAGAATTGCATAAAATATACATTAACCAATTAAAATTCGAAGATTTTTAAGAGAGTGAATATTTTTCATATATATTTGACATCCGCCCAAAATCATTTTACATATTTCACAACTTCGTTTTTCATTCTTTTCAATTACTTACTTATATCCCTCTTCCCTCTTTATATATTAATTCAGAACGTGTTGAGCTTAGGTGGTAAATTCTCACGTTTTGGATGCTGACATGGCAAAAATCTATGCTTCGTGATGTTGTTTTTATATTATTTTTGTTTTGGAATTATATTTGGTATTAGACATAAATAACTTTACACATATATTCATTAACTCAACACCCATATTGTACATGGGTATTAGTACTAGTATATTTTTAAAATAAATCTTATTGTTACAGTATCTAATGGTTAGATAGTCATACTTTTTAATTAAAAAAAAATATATTTTATATTATGAAATATCACTTTTATTTATATTAAATTTTGAAAATATGACATTTAAATTATACATATGGTGTCAACGAAGTCAACCACCTACTTATAACAAGTAAATAAATAAATCACACATGCACCTACTATAAGAATATCACTTCTACATATCTCCTGATGAATCAAAGTTGCCCTTGCAATGAAAATGGAAATTTTGGCCTTGTAAAGTCAAAATCGTTGACCAATTCAACATACCAAATACACGCTTATGCGACAGTTGTGCCTGTAAATTAAACCTTAGGGAAATGCTACGGTTCCGTTACGAAACCATTCTGTCAGGTTTGTAACCGTTAGATCATCATGTAACCATCGAGGATAGTTGATCTAACGGTTGCAAACACCGACGGAATGATTCCGTAACGGGACCGTAGCATCTCCCATTAAACCTTATTTAAGCCCAAATCACAAATGTCCAAATGACATATTTGGGCTTTGAAAAAACTCGCACCTTCTCAATTAGTTTGGCGGTGTTGTAATATTATTTCGTTTAATCATAATCAAGCAGCAAATTAAAGACCACCGACATCATTAATGATTTCGTTTACATATATAGAAATTGGGTTTGTATTGATCTTGCGTGCTGTGGAGTAAAATCAAAGTGCTGATAAATGAACTCGAACTCCACTTACTAGCGAGCTTTAATAAATCAAATTCGAACTTCAACTAGTCGAATTATATTAAAGAATTATAACATTGTGTAAGAATTTATAACTTTTTTATGCCTAACAGCTCGAACACGACTCGATTACCGAAGAGTCACACTTAAGAGCGGTCTGTTTCATTTAACAAATATTGTAGCGTATGAGTTTGTATTTAAAATTGATGATGTAGACTCAGATAAATATATTCTTTGAACAGGTTTTTTTATATTTACATATTGAACCGATATATTTTTGTAAACTAATAAAATAGTTATTATTATGATATTTTAAGTAAATGCATGTATTGTTATTCCCTACTTCATCTACACCATAATCCAAATTTCGTATTGTTAAATGCCTTCTAGCATTAGAGTATCATAGATAGCAAAATTTAGATCCAAGTACGTCTTATTGGGCTGTATCAATTTGAGTTGTTTGTAACTCTAATCGGGTTCTCGATTGAAGGAAAACTAAACTGGGCTACAATGAAGAACTAATAATTTGGGCCGTGGGCTACAATGAAGAAAAAATAATTTGGGCCGAGTTAAAAGATGGGTCAACCCAAGTCCGAATCAAGAAAAGTCGGTGTTTTACCCTCCATCTAGGCCCACCAAAAGCCTGTACCAGATCAAGAATCACATTGACTTTTTCTGATAAGTGATAAAATATTATTGACTATTTGCAATTGGCTGGCCTTGCAAGTTGCCATGTGGATCTCTTTTTTGTTAATTTATCAACGGGAGTGGACTGTGCAAGTTCAGCATGTTCATCGAGAAGCGAACTTTACGGCTGACCATCTGGCGAGCTTAGAAGTGGATTATCCGATTGGGTTGCATCGTATCTCTCTACCGCCCACAAGCTTAGGTGTTTGGCTTGAGCATGACCACATTGGGGTCTCATACCCCCGCCGAATTCTAGCTTAGTATCATTGAACACCTTTTTTGTATCGAAAAAAAAAAAATATCAACGATGACTACTTACAAAATTAGGGAATATATATCATAGGAAAATGCTACGATCCTGTTACGAAACCATTTCGTCGGGATTTGTAACTATTACATCAATTATCTCTGACGGTTACATGATGTTCTAACGTCTACAATCTCCGACTGAATGATTCCATAACAGAACTGTAGCATATCCATAAAACATAATACATCTTCATGGTTTGGCCAGCTCAACATGGATTATTTAATCCTGTTATTCTACCTGCAATTATATTTAATTGTAGCATTACACACTCATATACATACACGTATTTATTTATACATAAATGCATTAAAAAAAAAAAAATCTGATGATATATGTGCTTGAGTTGGCAGGGTTGAATTTTTCACTCAACACACATCTAGTGGACGGGCCTTAGCTCGACCCAATTCAACTAAACGGGCTCATTATGGTCAACTTTCATTGTAGTTTCTTTTATTCAGTATAATTAACATGGTCATGTACACATATTATATGAAATTCATCTTAGAAATACAAAGTTATATATACTAACTAGGCTTATAGTTTAATTTCCCTAATAAGTGTCATTAAGAAAAGAGCATTTGAGAATTTGTGATTATATATTGTGGTTTTGATTGAGTTTTTTTGGCAAATCATAGTTAATTTTAAAAATGTTGAATGACTTATGTTTGAGGGAAACTCAATGACGGAAGCATTTCGTGAGAATTTATAACCGTTAGATCATCTATTCCCAACGGTTACATAATAATCTAACGGTGAAAAATTCCGATAGAATGATTCTGTAACGGGACCGTAGCATCTCCCTATGTTTGAACGAAATTACGAGTTGATATTTAACTCGAACATTTATACAGGATATTATCGATTAAAATAAGTGGTTTCATGTCGAGAGTCAAGTCTGAGTTGTTGTTTGTTTCGCACATGCAATTAGTTTAATTTTCTGTATATTAATTAATCCACGAACCACGCGTTATGCACTATTTACGCCGAATTATATGATCACATTTTTTATTCAAGCAATTATATTTTACAAACAAATTATCTCAACAATTTAAATAATTAATTTTTGGAAGAAGGTTCCTCATCACTGACTTCAAGTTTATAACGTTACAAATCTGACAAAATATTGTTTATGTGTATAATTAAGAAGATTATGCTTGCTTGGATAATGGATTATATTTAAAAAAAATAAAAAATAAAAATGGAAGTATAAAACATTGCCCTTTTTTTCCCTGTCATTTAATTAAAAAATTGAACGTGGGAGGTGATAACATATATATTCAATAATAATTAGCTCCTTAATTAAAATTATTTGATCAAGAATTTTCAATCAATTTCAGATAAGACACAATAACTAGGAGACTTTTCTGATCAATGTTGTGAAGAGTAGTTTCATACTATATATTATTATATTATTTTCTCATCTCATGCATACTATTTTCTTCAGTGTATTAATATATCATTACATATTGTAGAAAAGTAATCATCAAAAAAATAAAAATAATATATACATATATATTATTTTCTTTTGAAAATAATAACATTTGGGTCAATCTGTATCAGTAAATTAACCTTTAACTAACTATTGCAATTTATTATTATTATTATTATTATTTTTTTTTTTTTGGTACAACTAACTATTACAATTTAATAAATTTAGTTTTATCCACCAAATGCGTTTTATGATAAGTCATATTAATTTACCATCTCAAAAAATGGTTAGTCAAGTATCAAAAGCCCTAGCTCGGCTAGGATCGTTTACAGCTCGAAGTGCAATATTTCGTTCTTTGTTGGGAGATGCCTAATTCGTAACTTAACAAGTCCATGAATATATAAGCTGAACTTGCATCACTAACGAGTTGATATATAATCACGAAAGTTCAAAAAATTATGTATAAATACTATTTATAAAATTAAAAGTATAATTACACGTCGATCCAAGCCCGACTAGTTAATTAAATAAACTCGAAATCAATTCGTCTATTAAGACCCTACTTGAGTTTTAACGAGCGAAATCGAGCTGAATTCAGGGACTGACTTATTTTGTTTAATTGTTCTAATTATAGTACTCCAAAAACTATATACCACTTTGTTACGGAACCCCTTGACAGTATAATTTATGGATTCATTTATAATTTTTACAGTGTATTGTTGCATGTATTATAATTAAAAAAAAAAATAGAATTACAGTTGGACAATAAATACTCTCCATATGTACCAAAAAAAAATTAAAAATAAATAAATACTCTCCATAAGACAATACTAATATTTTTTCATATTAAATTAAATAAACATAGAAATCTACAATAAATATATCGGACGATAAGTCGCAACTCAGAACTCATAAATATAAACGCGGCCCCTAGTCTTTGCCTGATACCGCATTAATTTTAGCTCTTTTTCACTCCCGATAAATAAATTAACAAAAATTACATTTCACCCCCAAAATTAGCATATAAAATCCTCCCCACCAATCCCATACTTTTCCAAATCAACCTCAAAATTCTCCAAAAATGTCGAAACTTATCCTCGCTCTCCTTTCCCTTTCAGCCACTCTCCTCCTACTCGCACTTGTTTCTTTCAATTCCCGCCCCACATTCCTCGAAAATTCCCCAAAGCCCCCAATCAAAATCCACGCGCTCGAGCACGCGCAGCTCGCCGCTTCCCACTGCGAGGGCACGCTGTACCCTGAGCAGTGCGTCACCACCGTCTCCGCCGCGCTCCCGCAGCTCCGCCGCAAGACGCTGCCGGAGGTCATCTCTGCCACCGTCAACGCCACCGTGCGCGAGGTCCACGCGTCCGCCGACAACTGCAGCAGCATCCGCCGCAAGCTCCTCCGGCGGCTCGATGCGCGCGAGCTGCACGCCCTCGATGACTGCCTCGAGCTGTTCTCTGACACGGTGGCGGAGCTCAACCACATCCTCGCCGAGCTTTCGTCGCCGTCGGCCTCGCCGGAAGACTACTACGACGACCTGCAGACACTCCTCAGCGGCGCCATGACCAACCAGGCCACCTGCCTCGACGGTTTCGCGTACAGCGTGAACAACACGCGCCGCCTCATCGAGGGCAGGCTGAAGAGGATCACGCGCCACGTCAGCAACGCCCTCGCCATGGTGAGGAAGTTGAAGAGGAAGAGCAGCAAGAGGAAGCCGAAAATCCCGGCGGCGCATGGCGAGTTCCCCGCGTGGCTGAGGAGATCTGACCGGAGGCTGCTGCAGGCGGCGACTAACCGGACGGCGCCGAATTTGGTGGTGGCGAAGGACGGCAGCGGGAATTTCACCACCATTGGCGAGGCACTGGCGGCGGCGCCGAACAACAGTGACGCGCGGATCGTGATTTACATTAAAACGGGGGCGTACTACGAATATATTGAAGTTGATAGGCGAAAGAGAAATATCATGTTTTTGGGGGACGGAATTGGAAAAACGCTGATTAAAGGGAACCGAAGCGTGGTGGACGGCTGGACCACCTTTCGATCTGCGACTGTTGGTTAGTTTTTCTTCCAATTATCCATTATTATTATTATTATTATTATTATTATTATTATTATTATTATTATTATTATTATTATTAGTATTATTTAAGCAAACATATTTTTCACACAAAATAAAATTATGACATAAGATAATGAGTATGCAATTTAATTTACATACTTGTCTGCCTTATTCAGTATTATTATTATTATTATTATTATTATTATTATTATTATTATTATTATTATTATTATTATTATTATTATTATTATTACAACATGATATTATTGATTGAAATGTGGGCACATGCATGCATATAGTCTTAAATGCTTTACTCACATTAAAGTGTATGCATAACTAATTATTTGGTGAGTGAGATTTGCATAATTCACTTTTTAATTGTTATATTGATCCTAACTAATTAGGTAATTAGAGAGCATCTAATTAATCAATACATCATTTGTGAATAAATATGAATGATTCCATAAGTCGAGTCATCATATGACTCCATATCAAAACCGTATTACAATTTAATTCAGGTATTAGAATGACTCAACAGACATATTAGTCGTATATATATGTATATATATTTTTAAATTAAAATGTTATAATTTAAAAAATAAAATAAATAAAAACTCGATATTTTATAGTTTAAAAATATATTTTTAAGATAATATTATGAGTCTAACCGCCTAACTAATCATATACATTATTATTAATTTGTTGCATTAAATTGTCATGTGTTTTACTTGAATGAATGACAATATCGTGGGACAAACAATTAAGAAACTCTTCACACTTGCGAAATGGCCAGATGAGACAGTTCCACACATCAACGTTAATTAATGATCAAGTTAACAATTACTCCCTCTTATTTTTAATAAATGTCATTTTAAAAAATTCGCACAATTATAAAGAATTTTTTTTTGCTAATAATAACCCTCATTAATGAAGATAGAGATGAATGTTTTGAGAAAAGATAAAAAGTGAATATGAAAAAACGTAGTGTATTTATTAGCTAGATGAGGGTAATTATGAAAAAATATGTACAAAATATCTAAAACGACATTATTTTGCTAATAGTTGATATTGTCAAAATGACAACAACAACAACAACAACAACAACAACATACCCAATATATTCCCAACTGGTTGGGGTCTGGGGGGTCAGTTGTACGCAGACCTTATCCTTGTAATTATACAAGGAGGCTGTTTCCGTAGCGACCCAAGGTGGGTTGGGTCGTTTGATATATATATTTTTTTTTTCTAGAAACTTCACTAATAGAAGAAGCGCTAGAATTTAATTGAGCCATTTTGATCTGGTCCATTATTAGCACGATGCCAAGAGAATTGTCAACAATGACTCTCAAGCTCCATTTGCAATGGACATTGATATTGTCAAAATGACATTTAAAAAAAAAAAAATAGGAGGTAGTACTAATTGTTCTTCGTTTGTTTTATTAACTTGCCCTCATCATCAGTCTTCTTTAATATATTACATCTTAATTTTTAGTTTTTTTTTTTCTTTTAATTCTTTTGCACAATATATTGTACATAATCACACACACACCAAAAAATCAAATTGATGGTTTTTTTCGATTAAAATCGGACCGTGAACACCCTTAATGTGCCTTAGTGCAAAATTTAAACATTTTTATCAAGGCAAGTGGAATAGAAGTCCGGTACATAGTATAATAGTATAGTATTGACCGAGCAGCCTCTGTTGACTTGTGGATTTAAGATAAAATATATAATTAAATTAGGAATTGAACTAAATCGCCTTTGTGGGCCTTTGTCAGCGAACATTAAGTAGCAGCACATGTGTCGGTGGATCTAAGTGGGCCCTCTATTCCCAAAAGCGTGTGATGAATAAATGGACAATAGATAGTCATAGCTTGTCCCTCACTCTCTAGCTAAGATATGTAAACGAGTCAATTCGAACCCACGCTAGCATAACTTGTTTAATAATTCGAACTTAAGTTGATCTGATATAAAAGTTTGAGATAGATGATGAATGTGATATTTAATTTAAAATATGTGAACGATGAATAACGAGATAAAATTAATATAATGTAAAAGATATATAGTTGATAATATTGAAAATAATGATGTTGAGTTAAATTTTTAGTTAAAGTGAATAAAAAAACACATACAGTCAAAACTGATTTTGATCAGTTTTATCTCCTTACCAATTGCTCTCTTAAAAGGCTCGAACTTTAAATATCAGCTCGACCCTTAACGAGTTGAATTATATAAAAACTTCTATTTACCAAGCATAACGAGCTTAATGAAGCCGATCTTGACTCATTCACTAAGCGAGCTGGAAATCCAACTTGTTTATCAAACACACCGAGTTTACGACAAACTCGTTTCATTTAACAAGTTTACTCGCTCATAATACTTCGTGTTTATATTCATTGGTTTTATAAAAATTGATTTATTTTCGATAAGTGTGATTATTTGCATAAGCTTGTATTGGGCCCATAACAACTTAAATGGACGCAACGAGGTCCAATTCATTCCCACGTGCATGGTCCAATCTTCTTGAATCTCGTAATCTCGTTGATGAAACTTTTTGGACAAATTATTCACCAACTTGTTGGGGACCAACTTTTTCTCATCCTTCATTGTTTTTTCCATAAAAATATAACTTGGGTACGTCCAATTTTAATCAAAATTTCGAAACTTTCGGGCCCGTTTATTTTCTCTTTCATACCATTTTCTCCTTTATTTCACCATCACTGGACCTATTTTTGTTACAATGATTGAAAAAAAGGGACAATTGGCAAAGCCATAGGTCCAGCAACTTTGTCAACAGTTTGAAGCACATTTTGTGGTAGAGATATTAACGCAAAATTTTACACATAATTGCATTTCATTGATGTTATCGAATTTCTTTATGAAAATGATCAGCCTTGATTAAGATGCCGTTGGAACCTGAATGGCTCGATCAATAGTACCCGATCCAAAACTGAAAACCGACCAGAATAGTGCGATTGCGGTTTGGTTTACTTTCTTAATGTGAAAGTTTTTGGTTCGATTTTTTCCTATATGGTTTGGCTATTTTTTTTATAAGTTTTGTACTTGGTTCTGTTCGGTTTGGTGCGATTTTGAATCGAACCACACAAAATTACATAAAAATGGAAAGACATATATATATATATAATTTAAGCTGACGCATAAAATACTGTGCCGCCTACAGCTGTTGTCGGGAATGGGTTCATCGCCAAGGGCATCACGTTCGAGAACTACGCGGGCCCCGCCAAGCACCAGGCCGTGGCCCTCCGTTCGAGTGCCGACTTCTCGGTCTTCTACCAATGCAGCTTCGTAGCTTACCAGGACACACTGTACGTCCACTCCCTCCGACAGTTTTACCGCGAGTGTGACGTTTACGGTACGGTCGACTTCATCTTCGGCAACGCTGCCGTCGTTTTCCAATCGAGCAACCTCTACGCCCGCCGGCCGCTCGACAACCAACAAAACATCTTCACAGCCCAGGGCCGTGAGGACCCGAAC